ACGGACAGACGGACAGACGGACGGACGGACAGACGGACAGACGGACAGACAGACGGACAGGGCCAAATCAACTCAGCTCGTCGCCCTGATCAAGAATATATATACTTTGTGGGGTCTGCCACGCCTCCTTCTGCCTGTTACATACATTTCAACAAAACCATTATACCCTGATTTCCCATTGAAAATGGGTTCAGGGTATAAAAAGATAAAGCTACTTCCCACATTTTAAAGCAAGTTCAACTTGCCACAAGAACTCTACGTTGGGAATAATAAATTGTTCATAAATTTCACCTGGCTAATGCGAGGTAATAAATCAAAGGCGAGACTCACCTGCAGCTTTGACCACTGGATGCGGCCAATGCAGCGCGAAGAATTGCGCCAAGCTAATTTGGCGCCATAAATTAGCTCCGTTTCGGTTAGTTGATAATGTCCCGTTGTCTCGATGCTCTGTCGCACCTGTTTCCAGCGCGTCTCATGGGCAGCCGAAGAGGATCTGTCAATGGAGCGGGCGGGCGAGTGTCAATTGGTAGCAGATATTTCATTTTGAGCGTGGACTGTGGGGCTTACCGCTTAATCGAGGTGAAGTACTGATCCAGAAAGTCCTTGGCGTGCTCCAGCACCAAATCCACTTTGCGTGCCTCGACGGGCGCGTTGCCAATGTTCATGATGCTGCTCGTGCAGGTGGCCCTCGAACAGGACAATATCTAAGGAACAGGCAACAGGCGAATGTAACGGCAGATGCTAAATAAATAAGTCATAAGCTTGGCACAAATATGACATACAGCGGTGGATGTGGCTGTGGCTGGGGGCGGGCAATTTAATTAAAAATTTAATTGCTTATCTGGGTAATTAAATTTTTGATTGCTCATTTCATTCGCCCTAATTGTAGCGACAAATGAAGATGAATGACAGAGCTGACTGAGCGGACAGCGCTCTGTGGAGCTATAAAAATATAAGGAAAACACTGCCCCGACCCCGCTCCCCCAGCAGCTCCTGCACGGTAATATGGCAATGGAAATGAAATTAAACAGAAACGGCTCAGAGAAACACATGGAGCGATAGCAACAACAACAACAACTGACAACTTCTCGCCTTGAGCTGTTTCCTGGGCAACAATTTAGCTGCTGCCGCTGCCCTTCATTCATCCTGCCTTTGCTGCTGGCTGCGTTTAAAAAGCATTTCACTGTCAATTGCGGATGTTGCTTTCCCTTTGCTTAGCTTCTGCCTTACGCTCACATTTTCCTTCTCAGCAAGCTCACAGTCTTCGCCCTCCTTCTCTTTTTTTATGACGCATGTCACTGTAATTATACCCTGTATGGGGGCGAAAAGGGGTATATGCTCTGTGTGGATGCAATATTGAATATGATTGAGGCTCAGTATTGAGTCAACTCTTTCTTACTTATGCTCTCTCTCTCCCTCTATCACGCCCTTTTTCTATCTGTATATCTCTTTTTCACTTTCCCTCTCTCTCTCTCTCTCTCAAGCACATTCGCTATCTACTCTCACAATCTCCCTATTTATCTACCTATATCGCTTTTAGTCTCTGCCTCGTTATCTGTAGATATTCTCTCTGTCTCTCTCACTTTCGCTATCTATCTCTTTCTCGAAAACTATCTATCTCACTCTCGCTATATATTCCTCTCTATCTTTTTCTCTTTCCCTCTCTCTCTCTCTCTCTTATTCTCAGTCTCACTAGCACTTTCTCTCTGTCTCACTCTCTCACATTTCGAGAGTATTATCAAGTCTTACCTCATCTAGTCAACATCTACCTGCCTCTTCTCTATAAATCCACTCTTGCAATCCCTCCTCAATTCATCCTACCCCCACTGACAGCTGCCCTGCTCGCTTGCTGCTGTTTTGTTTTTTCATTTTTCTTCGCTCTTACCTGTCTTTACCTTGGCTTAATTTRCTCAGCGCCAACGCCAACGCCAATGCCTGGAAGCGCAGTGGCAAAGCCACCCGCGGTCATAATTAGTTTGTTTTCACAGGCAGTTGAGCTTTTGAATTGGCTGGAGAAAAGTGAATTGAGACTCTTATAAAAGGTGCTCAAGAGAATTTACCTCCAGCTTTTGTCTGCGGCTCGGCGACTGTGACAATCACATTACACATACGCCACGTGAGCACCTGAGAGATTCGCTGAAGCACTTGCACAACTTGTTAAACTTGTATAATTAGGGCGAGAGTTGAAGATTTGGAGAGCTCGTTCTTTATCAACCTACTTAAGATTTGTATATATTTATAAATGAAATATTAAAATAATTTTCATTGAATATTTTTAATGCTAGCACATAGTTAAGTCTGGTTGACTTTGAAATATTGTTTTTAATAACGTTTTCTTTAAGCTCCCCTGCACCTAAACTAGCTCTAAGACCCACAGAACTGATGGCTACACAGGTGAGTCATTAGTTATAATATTGGATCTGTGGTTAGCCAAAGGCTTACATGATATTTTCTAGGTTTTCGTACAACATCTACAGCTCTCTATGAAATGAAGCCACCTTTCCAGCTCGCAAGCTAATATGCATGATATAATTAAACTTATATGATCTATGGGAAAGATAGCACATACAATTAAGGGAAATGGTCAAATATGTTTTGGTCACTCAAGCCCAAATTTTTAATTAAAACCAAAATACTTTAACCAAAAGTAAACTGGCCCCCATTTGAATATATGGAACAATATACATATGTAGAGCCCGCACCATTCCCTCAGAGGTTTCATTGATGCTGTGTGGTACATACGCAATCCTGAACGAGAAAAAATACTAATGTAGAGATGTGGAGATATAATACCCACATATAACTACACACCGTACTCCCAAAAAACCATGTTCATCGGATGACTTTACCACAGAAGAAGGCAAAAATAACTCAAATGAATCTTACTTACTCTCCTAATTTTCATCTCAATAATTAATCATACATTTGTCTATTTGAGTTATATTCATTCAATTTTCATGTTCTTACATTTATATCCACAATTGGTCTCTTAAGGCCAATTTATGCATTTATTTACTAAGCATTGCCCCACATTTTTCAACTCTTTCCAGCTGCTCCACATTCGCTTAGAGTCGCATGCTAAAAAAACCACACGGTAAATTAAAGTTGTTAATTTATGAGCCCTTCAAGCAACTTAACCACAATAAACTGCAAGCACCAACCACGCACATATACACACACACACACACACTCACAGGGAAAAATGGCCGAGTCCTGCCACACGGCTGTGGCATAAACTTTGCCAATTTTCACTCAACTGCGCGCGACAAATTTATGCACAATGCAAACAGCAGCAGCAACCACCAGATGTAAACAAACTAACACTCCGTCAAAATACACTCATACACACACACACACTTACACCCACGCAATGACGCAATTTAATTGCAACCACTTGAAAATGATAGTTCTAATAAGTAAAAGCAGTCGTTGACACGCCCACACGAGCTGCAACTACTCGCATACCTCATTTTGGCAGTGCAATATGTTTTTCACTTTTCCAAGCTTTAAAATTAGCTTTTTCCATATCAAAGGAGAGAAAAATCTCATAAGTCAAACAGACCTTTTGGCTGCGCAGATTTGAAGAAACCTAAGGACTGGCAAATGAATTTTTCGGGTGCCCGCAAATGCAAATAATTTGCGAGAGTGCTGCTCCTGCTACTACTCCTGCTCCTGCTGCTACTGCTGCTCCTGCTGCTCCTGCTTCTGCTGCTGCTGCTCCTACTACTGCTGTCGTTGCTGCCACGCCCATTAACTGGTTAACAGCCACACACACGCACCCTCCTCCCTCCCCTCTTCCCCTTACCTACGCTACCAAGAAACAACAAACAAAGTTCTTCCAAATTGTTTTATGTAAATATAAACACAAAGCAGCAACAACAGCAACAACAACAACAGAACCAGCTCGACGGTCGCAAACGCGCCGGAAACGGAAATTGTTGCAGCTGCAACGCGTCAAATAAATACACTCACACACACATACACATGTAGTATATTTGAGTGCGCTTAAAGTTTGGCGTATAAGTTTCGCTCTACGCCTCAGCAGCCGGGCACTGGTGGGCGTGGCATGGTGGTTGCCTGCATTTACTTTGCTCTGGCGTACGCCAAATTTGCACTTTTTTGTTGCAAATTTTTCAAGCTTTTTTCGCATTAAAAATTTATGCGCCGCTTAAGGAAAAAGTTTTAAAAATTACTGGCTGCTGTGAGAATCAAAACGAGCTGCATATGCGCTTACTTACTAAATAAATGACTCTAGACAAAAGTAAATGGTTGAAGCGTAACCCAATGAGAGGGAGTAAACTGTAGGCATATCAACATTTAGTCTTTCCAAGCATACATAATTTATTGAGCAACCTAATGACGTAATCCGATGTAACTATACGTGTTTATTTGCTCATCTCTGTCTGTATATGTTTCTCTCTGTCTGTCTCCCTGTCTGTCTCTGTCTGCTGCCTAACAAAAGCAAGGAACCATGAAGAGCTACAAAAGATCATTAAGTTGTATATATGTATGCAGCAATATTCATTTCGTATTTATATTCGAGTCGAACGAAGCTAGCATGCCCGAAGCAGCTGAGAGTGCTCCCATTGGTCACTTAGAACTCAACTGCAACGATCTCTACCTGGTGTCGGGCTCTACATTTGAGAGCGACTTCGTCATTGAGTAAAACTCGCCCTATATAAAGGGCAGCAGCTGCAGCGTTTCTTCAGTCGCCCATGCCTGGTGGGGGTCAGTAGTGCAGTGCAGTAAAGTAAAGTAAAGTGAATTGTGTGATCGTTCAGGTAAGCATGAAGGACTTAGAGCAAATACTTAGAGAAAATACTAAGAGAAAATACTAAGAGAAAATACTTGGAAGAAATACTTGGAAGAAATACTTAAAAGAATTCTTAGAGGAAAGACTTAAAGGAAAATCATTAAAAAAATACTAAGAGGGAGGGATTAGCATAATTCATGAAGGAAAGATTTAAGCAAAGACAAGGAAATACTCGAACAAACACACAGAAGAAAAAGTTCTTAGAAGAATTACTTAGAGGAAATACTTAATGGAAAGTAAAGGAAGAAATAGTTTGTATATACCTGTCTAACACGCCTCCTTCTGACTATTATATAGATTTATCAAGATTTATTACATGCTAATTCCCATTTTCAATGGTTTCATGATATTTAAAAAAAAAAAAAAAAAAAAAAAAAAAAAAAAAACACAAGTTAATGCTTTAATGTCATTTTGATTTATTATATTCGCTCATATTATATTACTCGCTTCAATATTTATACCCTGAACCCATTGAAAATGGGAAATCAGGGTATAATGGTTTTGTTGAAATGTATGTAACAGGCAGAAGGAGGCGTGGCAGACCCCACAAAGTATATATATTCTTGATCAGGGCGACGAGCTGAGTCGATTTAGCCCTGTCCGTCTGTCTGTCTGTCCGTCTGTCCGTCTGTCCGTCTGTCCGTCCGTCCGTCTGTCCGTCTGTCCGTCTGTCCGTCNATCGAAATTGAAATTTCAGCCATACTAAATGAGCATTTTTATTTGTTGGGTTCAGGGTAGTATCTAGTCGAGCACTCTCGACTAGAGTTTTCTTACTTGTTTTATTTCTAATCATTACAATTCTGAGCATTCACTAATTTTTCTATAAATAATTCAAAATTTGTACATATTTTTTTCAGTTTTGTTTTGACAACATAATTAACACCTTTACATGCCACTTTTTAGTTCAAACTCCAAATTCTGAACAACTTTTTCTCCGAGTGAAATTCCAAAAATATTAGCAAGAGAAACTCTACGCTTGAATTAAACTAATATTTTGAATATTATGAAGAACAATTGAAACAAAACAATAAAGACAAACAAAGTACATTTAAAAGAAGAAACTTTTCCCGAAATGGTGGAGGTGAGAGAAGGTTGAATGGGAAATACTCTGTAAATACTCTGGCTTAAATGGCTTAAGTGACTGTTTACTTGTGATTACTCGTATTTAGAACATGTTGACTAAGAGACTGAATATTTGCTTAACAATTTCCAAGCACATGTTTAGTTAGCTTAATTCTAATTCTTTGTGGAGTACTTTTAGCTAAGGCTTAGCAAGAATTTTAACTTGAATTTCGAATTATAAGATGAAGCCTCTATATGCATTAAAATATAGGAATATTTATAGAAATCTAATAAATAAATCTGCCATCAAATTTTAATGACGCTTAAAATTCTTTGTATTCAAATCTCTCTAGAAAACCTTGAAAGCTGTTTGTAAAACTTACCCCAACTAAACGATGCTTCGCATAAATAAATTTTAATTACCCGAAATCTCGGCTTTATGTTGACTTTTTTGTTTGCACTCGGGCATAACTAAGAGTTTAAAGCTCACATATGGTTTAATGGCCAAAGCAGCCATAAAAGCTGTGCGGGATATAGTTTGGAGCGCTTAGCATACATGTGGGTGTGTGAAGGTGTTTAGGTGTGTGTGTGTGTGTGTGTGTGTGTGTAGGTGTACGTGCAACATTGTGGGCCATTTAATTGACGGCATGTTAAGACATTTGAGCTGCGCATTCCAGTCGGATGACATAAAGTTTAATTTCCTTGAAGGGGAACGCTAACATCTATGAAAGCAGCAGATTCAGCTACTCTCCCAGCCAGTCGCTTATTATAATTAGCAGGTGGGCAGGTGGGCAGGTGGGCCAATGGAAATTTGCATTACAAGTGGCAAGTGGCAAGTCGAGTGTTTTCCCAGGGCAACTAAAGTCGAGGGCCCTACTTAAACAAAATGGCGGCAAGCGCAAATATTTTGCATAGCATAATTTTATGCGCTTTGCGCATTAAAATTCAACTGATGGCAGCTGCAGCAGGGGGAGGCCGGCCAGGGCGCAGTGGGCATGGTCGAGTGTTATGCAATGAAATTTGATTGCAAAGAAGAAAAAAAAGAAACGGATTCGTAGCGCCATTTCCGACGCCGCTGACTTAATTAGCCAGGCAACTGCTGCTCGGGCTTGACTTGGCTAATTGAGGTTGGTTGCCAACTTTAGTGCCAACACGTCGCGACGTCTTTTTGCAGCTGCTGTAATGCGGCACACCCCAACTTCTATCTACGATTTGGCCTAATGGGTTTCAAATCGCAGTCGCAGTTGCAGTTGCAGCATCTCTTCTTATATTTTTTTGGCTTGCCTTATCTGGTGCAGCACTTGAATTATGCGATGGCCGCATTATTTGTTAATTTAATTTAATGGCGTGCGAGTAATTAAGTAATTTTTATATGAGCTCAAACTTTTCAAGGAACGCAAATAGCGCAAATGCCATTAGTTGTAAAGTTGGCCACAGCTTTAAGTTGAGTGAAAACTATGTTTCGCTGCTTTGCCCAGCTAACCGCAACAGGGATTACTAAAAACAACAAACGACACACACACACACACACACACGCATGAATTAAGGGACTTTCTAGCTACTTCATTACGTTGTGCACACTTGGCTCCAAGCGTCAATGGGGTCGACAAATGCGAAGTCCTTTTAATCCTGGACCGGGCACGCACAACTTTTACATAACAAGCTGCAGTAAACGTTAAAATTGCAGGCAACAAAAATAACACGCGCAAACAAACAAACAACCACACACACGCACACACAGCCGCACACCCACACACCCACACAATTACATAGCCAACTAGCAGCATCATGAGTATTAAATAACTCCTGGAAGTATGCAATGGTTTTTTCTTCTCCTCTGTGCTTGGCATTTGAGCGAAAAAAACTTCTTTACGCTCCACACAAAGGGAGAGAGAGAGAGGAAGAGAGGAGAGAAAACATACTGCGAATTGTTTTACTGCCATTTTTATTGCACATTCCCATTCATGACGTAGCCAAACGCGCAGCATCTTAGTCCTAGCCCAAAAGACACGCCCCAGCTCAGCTGCTGAGCTGAGATGCCCCAGCTCCAGGCTCACGTGCAACAACTAATTATGACTTGTATGTGTAACAGAAACTCAAATTGAAACGTGACCTACCTCGCGTCCCTTGCTGTGCAGCGTGTCATACACCTCCGGCCGGCCCTCGATGTTCTTCAGGCGCATCGGCTTCCGCATCAGCAGGCTGCGTCCCTCGTCGTCCAAGTGCATGAAGCTGTGCAATGGAAAATCAAAGTTCAAGAAGATGACAATGAAATAAATTTAATTACGTTTTTAGTATAAATTCGTATTAAAAAGTAGCTCAACTAATTTACTCACAATTTATAGCATTTATAATAAGAATTACAAATATAAAATATAGTACTAAATTCCAAAATTATATATGCTATAAACGACTTTCATGAACTTTAGTAATTCATTGGTTTATTATGAAAATTAAATATGTTACTTTTTATTTGAATTTATACTATAAACTTGCATAAGCATTGATATCCCTCTTAGTAAAAATTTAAAAAATGTCTTAACTTTGTATAGGCGTTAATTGAAATAAACTGTGAACCTCTGCTATATTTAACTATTTTGTTAATATTTGATTTTAATTTTTTTTTTTTTTTTTTTTTTTTTTTTTTTTTTTTTTGTAACTGCTGGAAATACATAGACAAGTTGAAGAATATATCTCAAAAAATCTATAACAATTTTTAGATTAGATTAGAATTGAGAGCTGAGTTACTCTAAAGAAAGCAATTTATAAGTAGATCCAAGTATGTAAGAAAATCTTTGTGACTATAAATGATAAAGGTACAGAATATTTATAAATTTATTA